TGTTCTCTCTCTTCATACTGTACTGTACTGTACTTTGTTTCATATTTTTGTGGTTAAAAAATAATACATATGGCTCAGAACGGATTAACCTTATTTACATTGAACCTTATGTGAAAATTTGATTTGGTTGGCGACCAATTCGGTTGGTGACCACATTCATAGGGGCCAGAACGGATTAACCTTATTTACATTGAACCTTATGGGGAAATTTGATTCAATTCGCGACCAATTTGGCTCGCGACCAGAATCGTGGAACGAATTAAGTTCGTGAACCGAGGTACTGCTGTACTTGTTTTGAAGTGTTGTTATCGGCAACTTGGTTTCTGAAGCTCAGTTCACAGTAGGAATTGACCTTCAAATCTATATATTTCATAATATGTCCACTATCATTGATATTTGATAGTAAGAGCTTGTGGCAGATACTATTAATTCATTAGTATATGCTTTGGAGATTATCATGTCTTTTTCTATCTCTTTCTTCTCCCCATTTTTTTTCTGAAAAATGAATAAAAACTTGTCTTTATATTTTAAACAAACCCATCTTCTCTTTTTTATGTTCCTCATTGCAAACATTTAATTTTGATTGTACTTTTTAACTTTTAATGTTAGACTTTCTGTTTAATTATATGAAAAACTAGAATGGTTTTAAGTTGTTCTTATTAAAAAAGGTGTCAGGAGCTCTCTGTAAATATAGTATGCAGAAATTATGTTTCAAGATTAATTTAGCTATTGTATTCCCCATTTCCAAGAATGATTTAGAGCAAGTTCTACGCCAGATTGGTGATAAGGATCAAAAAATCCAAAACCTTGAAGCCCTGCTACAAAAGAGTAAGGAGAATATTTCTTTGCTAGAAAAAGAAAGGGAAGACTTGTATGCCAAAATTCAAGCTGGTGAAGGAGAAACAGCAGTTCTAAATCAGTTACAGGAGAAGAATCATGCTTTGCAGGAACAGGTAAGAAGTTCAAATTTATTAGAGGATAGTATTTTAAAAGTGACAGATCTTTTTACTTGCTGGTTCACTTCTTGTTTCCTTTTGTTGCCAGTAGTCCCTATTGTTGCAGTAGGGACTAACTACATTAGGGTTAGATGTGGGGGAATGGAGGATAGCAAGGCACAATATTAGGGTATTATTTGTTACGAGTAACAAATCTATAAGATGTTTTGGAAAGGAGCTAAATAAAAATGAAGCTCACTTTTGCCATTATTTTTCCTTGTATCATGGGATGTTGCCTTCTTCTGGAGCTAATAGACAGGTCCGATTTTGAATTACCGCTCTGGAGAAAGGATTCAGGGCTGCCCTGCGTAGTGAGCAGAGCTGTTAGGTCCAGCTGAAGTATCTAAGAGTCTAGCTTTGTTATTTAAAATAGAATCGCCCTTTCTTTTCCTTCATCCCTTCCTTCTTTAATCTGTCTTTCTTTACCACAGGGATAGGATAGAAGGTAGGGAAGAGGCCTCCGCCAGAGCTTCACAATTACAGGCTACACAACATGAAAACTGTGTCTCAACATTCTTTGCCATCTTGAAGGTATTGAATAACTGGTTGGCACAGTAGCAGTACCACGCTGGAAGAGTCATAGAGCCAGCTAATTAAAAAGCCATAATGAGGCCAGAAAGACTGTGTTTACTGAAACGGTGTATTTTAGATTCAGTGTCTCATATGGAATGGGTTAGGAATTATATTATTTATTTTATTAAACTTAGAGGTTGCCTGACTCCAGAAAACTCTGGATAGCTTACAATTTAAAAGTAAGAAGAGACCATAAACCCGAGGAAAAAGAATCATGCATGTATGGGAAGAACATATAGTATAACAAAAAACAACCAATGAGTTCAACATCTACCCTACCCTTAGGCCAATCTTCAAATATTTTGAATATCATCAGATGGGAGCCATATGGATCTCTGGGGAGATGGTGTTCCAAAGGGAAGGCACTGTGCAACAGAGAAGGAATGTTTCCTAAGTCTCGAAAGATAACACTGTTTAATCCAAAAGACCTGGAGCACATCTACTCTGCTTTGATTTCACTGGACGGGCAGAATTACTAAGATAGGCAGTCCCTCAGGTAGCCAGGCCCTATGCTATGAACGGCTTTATAGATGATGCCATGTTAAATTGCACCTGGAAGCAAACTGGCAACCACCGCAGCTCACAAAGCAATGGTGACACATGGGCATACTGTGGCATGACAATCACTGCCTGCACTACTCCGTCCTGGACCAGATGTAACTTTTGAATGATTTTCAAGGACAGCCCCATGTGGAGCAAATTGCAGTAGTCCATTTGTGAGGGGATCAGGGCTGAGTGACTGACTGGAGAACCTCCCAATCTAGAAATGGGCACAGCTGGTGCACCAGATGGACCTCTGCAGAGGCCCTCCTGGCCACAGCTGCCACTTGCTCCTCAAGTCCAAGACAACCCCAGATCGCACACCAGTTTCAAATGGAGAAGTGTCACCCCTTCCACAACAAATGACGATAAGTCCCCAGATTTAAGGGGAATATCCACAGGCACTCAGTCTTTTCGGGATTGAGCCTGAGCCTGTTCCTCCCCATCCAGATCTGAATAGCCTCCAAACGCTGGGCTAGAACATTGGCAGCAGCATTTGGATGACCCAGGATCTGAACCAATGATTGACCTCACCCTGCATTTTCATGTAGATGCTGAAAAGAAGGGGGGGGAAGTGTTTAGCCTTGAGGCACCCTGCAAATAAGGAGCCACTGTTGTGACCTCAACACCAACTGGAACCAACCACAGAGAAGGAGGAGAACCATCATATACAGTGGGGCAAAAAAGTATTTAGTCAGCCACCAATTGTGCAAGTTCTCCCACTTAAAAAGATGAATGACAATGATCCCAAACACACTGCCTGGGCAACGAAGGAGTGGCTTCGTAAGAAGCATTTCAAGGTCCTGGAGTGGCCTAGCCAGTCTCCAGATCTCAACCCCATGGAAAACCATGACAATGATCCCAAACACACTGCCTGGGCAACGAAGGAGTGGCTTCGTAAGAAGCATTTCAAGGTCCTGGAGTGGCCTAGCCAGTCTCCAGATCTCAACCCCATGGAAAACCATGACAATGATCCCAAACACACTGCCTGGGCAACGAAGGAGTGGCTTCGTAAGAAGCATTTCAAGGTCCTGGAGTGGCCTAGCCAGTCTCCAGATCTCAACCCCATGGAAAACCATGACAATGATCCCAAACACACTGCCTGGGCAACGAAGGAGTGGCTTCGTAAGAAGCATTTCAAGGTCCTGGAGTGGCCTAGCCAGTCTCCAGATCTCAACCCCATGGAAAACCGTGATGTTTTGGGGCTGTCGCTGGGCAACACGGACTTTCAACTCCCTCCAAAGGTTTTCCATGGGGTTGAGATCTGGAGACTGGCTAGGCCACTCCAGGACCTTGAAATGCTTCTTACGAAGCCACTCCTTCGTTGCCCAGGCAGTGTGTTTGGGATCATTGTCATGGCAAATAAATTCTTTAAAAATCAGACAATGTGATTTTCTGGATTTTTTTTCTCATTTTGTCTCTCATAGTTGAGGTATACCTATGATGAAAATTACAGGCCTCTCTCATCTTTTTAAGTGGGAGAACTTGCACAATTGGTGGCTGACTAAAAACTTTTTTGCCCCACTGTAGTGCCTCCTGTCCAAATCCCACAGCCAGGCCAGAAAGATACCATGTTCAATAGTATTGAAAGATGCTGAGAGATCAAAGAGCATGAGGATGGACACACCATTCCCATCCTAACTCCACCAAAGGTCCTCAGCAGAGATGGTGGTACAACAACCACATTCCCCTAACTGTTCCCTAAGGTCCAACATCAACCAGAGAGTTTCACATCTTGTTTTCTGTGGAGTAGTCTTGCAGATGACAGTAGCCACACCATCTTTCTTCTCTGGGTTCTCAGCTGGTCCAAACCTGAAACCTGGGTGGGTACATTTATGAGAAGGGGACAACCCTCTCTGGGCCCAACTAGGTCTTGGTAAGACATACCAGGCCATTGCTCTCATCCACACATTCACAGTGTGAATGAGGGCAGATTTATTACAAATCAACATGGCATTCAGAAGCAGCAGCCAGAGCCAATGCCCACAGAACACCTGATAACCTAGTATAGAAGGTGAATACTTAAAGCTAGACATTTGGGCCACTCTCAGGTGGTGTCACCAATGTCTCTGAGAGTGGCCTACCACCAGATTCATGCCATATCTACCTTGCCTGTCATGACGTTGCTATTTCTTTCTGCAATCTTGGTTCCCCCCACGTCCCTCCCTCACCTCCCACCCCCTCTCAGGCCAAGGCTTCCTTCCTTTTAGCCTTCTAGGAAGCCATAAAGGGTTAGCTTTCCCCCCAGGCACTGGGACAGGGTGAGTTTGGAGCATGAGAATTGTATGGTTTGATGGACTGGAGATTGTGGGTAGGGAACCTTCCCCCCCCCCCCTTTGGTTTAATTATTCTGAGCTACCCAGAATTGAATTTTACAAGATGGGTGGCCATATAAGTCAGATAGATAGATAGAAAAGGACAAAGAAACCTACAACCCCATAAACACCAACCCAATACAGAAATTGAACAACCAAATCAAGAAAACCCTCAATGGCCTAACCAAAAAAGTACAAATCATGAAAAAGAACAGTAACAAATGAAAACAAACACCTGCTTCTCCCATGCTTCTATGGATGCCCTAAAATACACAAATTCACTTGTCTCACTGCCAGGGATGCCAACATTCAATCTGACTAAAGAACTCACCAAAAAAATCTGGAAACCAATAGATGGGAGTGAGCACTCAATAAATTTATCACTATAGTGCCTCCATAATATCAAAGCCTAACAATTGATATGATGAAATTATGGTTTCATTTGATGTTACAAGGCTCTTCACCATAGATCCAGAACTAGCAGAATAATCTATTGCAACACTTCTACCCAATACACCAAACCTAACAGAATATACAAGAATTGAAGTACTCAGTCTTGTGGAACTTATTGACTCTTGCCTTACCATTTACTTCCAGTTCAGTGGACAAATATATAGATAAATCAGCGGATTCATCTCAGGATTCAAAATTGAGACTATGATGCAATACCTAGAAGCAATAGCCCTCCCACACAAACAACCCACAATATGGACCCTTATGTAGATGATACCTCATCATAATAAAACAGGAACAGCTAGAGACAACACATGACACAATCAACAATTTATTTTAATGAATAAAATTTACAAGAGAAGAAAGTAACAAACTACTCTTACTAGATATTCTCATCAACAGAGGAAACAATGGTACACTACATTTATTTATTTATTTATCATATTTATATAGCCGTCCATCTCACACAAGGTGACTCTGGGTGGCGTACAACAATTAAAATATAAATACATAAAAACAATTACACATAAAAACTGTAAAAACACACAAAACAGGAGGGGATAAATTTAATAAGGGAGCCATCGTAAAATTTCCCTGATCCCCTGGGAACCCCAGGCCTGATCACATAACTAGGTCTTGAGGGACTTACGGAATGTTAAGAGGGATGGAGCTAATCTAACTTCCGGGAGAAGAAGATTCCACAAGGTGAGCACCACAGCAGAGAAGGCCCGCTTCCCGGGAACTGCCAAATGTAATTCTCTAGATGACGGGATCCGTAGCATGCCTTCTCTGCCAGATCTGATGGGACTGGCAGATGTAATTGGGGAGAGGCGGTCCCTCAGGTAACTTGGCCCCATGCCATGAAGGGCTTTAAAGGTCAAAACCAGCACCTTAAATTGGACCCGGAAGCAAACTCGCAACCAGCGCAGCTTGCAAAGCAGAGGTGTAATGTGTTTAGGTGTAACCCTAGGAGCACACACAACTGCCTGCGCCACTGCATTTTGCACCAGTTGAAGCTTCTGAATACTCTTCAAGGGCAGCCCCATGTAAACCACATTACAGAAATCCAAATGGGAG